CTCCCCGGGGGCTCCTTCTGCTAGGACTCCTGGGACAACTTTTTGCTTCCATCTTGCCACAAAGTTCCGCTGCATAATTTGGTTGTTACAGCTCCTTAGAAATTACCCCATTCCCCTAAACCCGTCTTTTTCTCTGATGACCCAGAATCAAACACTTTGATCGAGCTTTTTGCGAGGCCCTGCAGGTTCCTCTCCCCCGGGCTCTGTTTTCCTTCTGTTCTTGACTCTCATCTACCAGAGCCCACGGAGCCCACAATCCTTCCCCACGAGGCCCTGTAACGCTCAGCAGCCCTCCCGCCATGGAAAAGCCTCGCTCCCAGAGAAAGCCCTGGACCCTAAGCCCCTTCGCCCCGGAGGCACGTTGTCTCCGAGCGGTCTCAAGTCCTCATGAGATTTTTTGGGATTTCTTCATCCTCCTGTGTCACCTGCCTTTCCCCACTTGTTCTGTAAGCCCCTATGGACCTGGATGTGACCCAGGACCCAATGTCCCTGATGCCTTCAGTCCTACAAGGATGTTCCTGGAGGTGACCAAGGACATGACGGCTTGGTGGTAAGGACATCAGGGCTGCCTCTCTGCATAGAAACTGACCTGACTATTTTCCTCTTTTCTGAGTAGTTTATCATTTCTGGATTGCTATGTATCATCTTGGAAAAAAGATCAACTAAACGTTTGGTGAGTATGGGGCCAGCGGCAGCTCACTTCTTCCTGGGAAATTCGGAGGGCACCCCTCCCAGTTACTCTCTCATGCTTTCACATGAAGGAACGGACCCCCGGGTCAGCTACAGGCGCCCTTGGCCAGCGCCTGGTCAGCACCCGCTGGTTTCTGGGGCTCCTTTCATGATCCCTGTTCTGTAACCAGCACCGAGCCTCGACAGGCTCTGACTGGCTCCACGGAGAAATCCTGTCCAGTCATGACACCATTTGGTGCCAGCTGGCTGCCCGGATCCAGGTCCTTGGTAACCACAGGCTAAAGAGGTGGTGGGGTACTTGCTGTGTGCCACCACTGGGCAAGAAAATCTGAGACCACCAGAAATGCCCCTCCCTCAAGATGAAGCCAGAGCGGAGTCTGTGTGGGCTGGAGGAGAAAATGTTCTGGCTGAGACCAGTGTTGGTCACTGGTGGTGGCCAGAGGCATGGCCACCTGCATTCTCATGTTTCCGGGTCAGACAAGGATGGAGTGGAGGGTGGCAGGCCAGCTTTTAGTGACAGGGGACAACTGCGATCTGCAAAGTTTCCCCTTTTCCTCGAGAGGGATGGTGGGGGGAAAGCTGGGTGCATCAGAGGGCTTCCTGGGAAACTGAGTCCGAACGACCTGAGTCTAGAATGCAGGCTTCCTGCGCCAGCCCCTCCTCTGGGCCCACGCCGGGGTCCAGCTACAAACGTCCACGTGGGGCCCAGAGTGGCCCTCCCGTGCCTGCCTGCAGAGGCACGTCTCTCACGTGCTTCTGGTTTGTGCGGGGGAAGGGATGGAAAGAACCAGGGGAGTCCCAGTTCTGCTGGATCCCCACGTGGCTGATGCTGCTTTGGGGTGTCTGTTGGGGTTGGGTGGGAAAGCCCCTCTGTCTCTAGCCCTGCGTGGGGGATCCTGCAGGCCAAGCCGGGGTGATGTTACAGAATATGTCATGCACCCATGTGACACCAGCCCAGCCTCGGGCCGGGGTCCGGAGGCCTCCTGCTGGGCTCAGGGGAGATGGGGGAGGAGGGGGCCTCTTCAGGGCACCTGGGTGGCTCAGGGGGAAGCCAGAGGGGGGCCTGGGGGAGTAGGGCAGCAGTGATTTACCCAGCATACGAGCATTTCAGTATTTTAACTACTCGGTCAGTACGGCCCAGCCGGACATCAGTCAGGTATGTGTCTCCAACCAGTCCTGCCCGGTCCCGTCTGTTTCCCCCAGAAGCGTGCGCTTCATTCTCGAATTCACACGTTCTGCCAGCATTTTCCCGCTGGGCTCGGGAGCTCTGTCGGAGGATGGAAGATAACCAGAAACAAATTCTATCACCTAGACCCGTCCCGCAGTGACCCTTACATGGAACCATCCTTGCCATCCCACGGGAACGTGGTACCCCAAAGGCGCGTGCCCCGGGGGCAGACACCCTGACCCACAATTCCCCCGCAGGCCTGGACCAGCCTGGTCACCAGCCTTCTGAGTCTCCTGGGCACTTTTGTGGGGTTCGTCGTCATCCTCCTCAGCCTGGCAGTGGGGTTCACCGCCTTGGGACAGTGCAAACTGGACGTGGGGTCCAGGCAGACGCCCCAGGACAACTTCCCTTCAAGAGGCAGGACCGCTGACTGCGCCTTCGCTGGCTCCAGTCTGCTGGTGAGTATGTTTGGATGGAATATTTCAGGCTGGTGAAATCTTTGAGGTTCTCCGCTTCCTGTCGGCTGTGCTTTCTTCTGGGGGGTGACCCGGGGGAAAAGGCTGGAAAGAGGCAGAGGAAAGGAGCTTGTACACTGAGGAAGCACGGGTGTTCAGTGGATCGTGCTGGAAGAGCTGTTCTGAGTAGTTTAATGCCAAACAGGCCGAAGTTGCAAATAGATCCTCGTCCACTTGGTTTGTGCTTAAGCTCCTTCATAACCACACCAAGCTAGCTGCGTGAGTCTCAAAGGATGGATGTATCTGAATAAGAACTGGCGCCTGGGGCAACGAATGGCTCAAAAAAAAGCCAAGGGCTCAGGGAGATGTTAGGGATCTGCCCGGGAGAGGTGGCCTTGGGCTCAACAGGACGAGAACCAGAAGCCGGGGCAGAGAGGGAACAAATCCTCCACATGCACCGGGGTGCACGGTGATGGCCGAAAGCAAAGCATCAGAAATCCAGAAAGAGCAAAATTAAAACCACCGAATCAATAAATAGGATTTACTAAGCGTGTATTGTGCATATAAGGACAGTTTGCACACTGGGAGCTTTCCAAAACAAAAACTGACACCAAGCTCAGGGACGTGACATCACAAGATGTCTTATAAAGTGAAAACGAGGACGTTGTTAAGCTTCACAAGGATCGGCTGTTACAATGGGAGCTTCCAGAGGGCAGGGAATTGGTTAAAAGTGATAACAGGGGCCAATCCGTGGCTGAGTGGTTAAGTTCGCACGTTCTGCTTGGGAGGCCCAGGTTTTCACAGGTTCGGATCCTGGGTGTGGACCTAGCACCGCTCATCAAGCCACGCTGAGGTGGCGCCCCACATAGCAGAGTCAGAAGGACCTACAGCTATGTACTGGGGGCTTTGGAGAGAAGGAAAAAAAAGAAAGAGGAAGCTTAGCAACAGATGTCAGCTCAGGGCCAATCTTAAAAAAAAAAAAGTGATTAGCATTTTTAGGAAGATGACTTGAATTTCTCGTATGATTGGCAGAGGCATTTACAAGAAATAACCAAAGTTAAGTTTCACTCATGTTCATGAAACAAGCTAGATTTAGTTTTTCTTATGGCTTCCATGGTTTTGTCTGCTCGGGAAATTGTCTGATCTGGTCTCCATTTTGTGTTAATTGCAACAACACCCGCCCTGCCCCCCCCCACGTTTGGTCATTCTCTCAGCAACTTGAGGGTCTGACCACTTACTAGTGTTCCTTTCGGTTACCGCTATCGATGTCGCCAGGCTGGAGAATCACATATGTGCTGTTTCCAATAGCTGAGTCACCAGGACCGAGGGTCATGCGACCAACAGTTGATTGTCATCAGGCCCATGGCGGTCAGAGCCTTGAGTTCCTCAGGCTGTCTAGTGCAATGGGTAGCGTTTGATGTGTGAGTGGCTGCCGAAAGGCATTTAAACCCTTTGAGAGGAGATAAGGCACAAGAGAGGTTCATGGGACGGCTATAAGGAGAATAATAGCCAAGGATTAAAAAATTCCCCGGAGAAGTATGCCCAGGAGCCAAGATTTAACCAGCCAAACAACTCAAGTGCGTTCTAATCACATTCAGGCTTTACTTCTTTCAGTTAATCTACATTTTTCAGGGTTATTTACATAGGCATAACATATGGATTAGCTGTCACACATCCTCATAATTACTGAGGAGAGGATGGGCATGAAGATGTTGCATTTCAAAAAGCAACGTTGCAGGTGAGCTTCCATCTAAATTAGGTCTCTATATGATGTGAGGGGTCAGGTATTTTAATTAGGGAACTTCTATGGAAACCAAAGAAAAAGATGAATAGTTTGAGCAAATTATAAATTCAGTTTCTCAGTTTGGAGAGCGGCTAGTTGAGAAAATGTCCAGATCTGCGTTTGAAGCATCTTCAGTTGGTGGAATGAGGATGGCAGTTTTAATCTGATGGATTTTCCTGGTTTGTGGTTTGACGATCTCTGGTGATGGCATCCAGGGTTCTGTGGAACTTTCTTGAGTGGCCCATACAGCACCGGGCATGCAGGTTGTCCCTAAGTGATCTATTGTGACGATTTCTCTGAAGTTTCTAAGCAGATAATAGAACCTAGAAGACAATGAACAAGACAAGACTAGGATCTGATAATTAAGTACACTATAGTCTTCTACCAAAATATAATTTCTCATGGTCATCCAATTTTTATCAAAGATATTTTCAGCGAAACCAATTTGTAAAATAATTCTAGCCTTATTAAACTTGGATTAATTATTTACGTAAACGTGTAAGAATAGTCATTCGATGCGCAATCTCAAAGATGACATTTCAGTCCAAGCTTTGGTAATACGCAAGGGACATTAGTGGCTCCATAAAGTCGACCTCAGTTCTTTAAAACTGCCTGGTAATGAGGAATCTCGGACTAGACCTTTCAAAGTCTCTTTCTGTTGAGAAGCCAAGTTAAGGACGTGTCCGATTGCGTCCTGTTACAAGGAGAGCAGATCCTGACTGAGCTTACGTAAATACATATATTTCCATGAAAAGTAAGAATATTTAATGACAGTTTCTGAATACTGGGGGAATCAGACAGGGAGAAAAAGATAAAAGTCTCAACTTCTGTTTACAAAAGTGACCTGTATCAAAATGATCTAAGTTATAGACAGCTTGAAAGATAGGAGAAAGGGTCTTTAAACCTGGAAAACAAACATTAAAGAGCCAGCAATGTTTTCAACGAAGTCAGAGAAATTATAATCACCTCCATCAGTTCATTCAGTCTCCTGTAATTAATTCTTGTTTCGCTCCATCTTGGGTTAGTAGCTTTATCAAGGAATTTTCCATTAGAGTTTTAGAAATTCTTACCCAGTTCAGCGTTATGGTCTTAAAGTTATCAGAATCCTGCCTCCTAGAACCCTTGTCAGGGTCTTTCCCGTGAATCTCCTTGAAGATGAAGCATTTTTGCCAGAAGCTGATTGTAGTTGACTATTTGTGACTTATCAAGAAGCTTCAAGGAGGTACAATAAAGTTGGAGCACTCAAAGTGCAAAGAGAGCAGAAATCGGGGGAAAAATAGAGACGGGCTTTTTTACATCTTTATTAGCGAGTAGAATTTTACGGAAATGATGGAGTGTGGTGTTGCCTTCCTGAGTCTATCAGAGAAAGGCTTCCAGCCGGTAAACTCAGGGGCACAGGCACAGATCCACAGGACACTGAGGAGAGGAGAGCAGGTCAGGAGGATCAAGGTTTCCATCCGGCAGCTTGAGAGGGAGGGGAGGCCCCAGGAGGCAGCGAGCTGGGCGAGATGAGCACAAAGACTTGGACCCACCGCAATCCCTGGCTCAGGCCGGCCCCCAGGTGATGACGCCAGCGATAACGGGAGCTGCTGGGGGCTGGATGCGCAGAGCGGTTTGGTCGAGGTCTGTGTAGGGGATGAAAGGTAAGCTTGTGAGGAATCAAGCTGAGCTCACTTGCTCAGAATTTTCTCAGGGGGGAGCAGGCCAGCAGCATCCCCCTCCCACTTGGTCCTTGAATTCATTCCCTGGGGCGGCCATAACAAACGACCTCATGCAGAGCAGCTGAAAACAACAGAAATTCAGCCTCTCCTGGTTCTGGAGGCCAGAAGCCTGAACTCAAGGTGTGTCAGGGCCTCGCTCCCTCCAAAGGCTCCAGGGGAGGGTGCTTCCTGCCTCTTTCAGCTTCCGGGGCGCCAGGCCCCCAGATTCCTGGGCTTGTGGCCACATCACTCCAACCTCTGCCCCCAATGTCACCTGACCTTCTCCTCTGTGTGTCTGCGTCCTCTTCCCTTCCTATAAGAACACCTGTCATTGCCTTTAGAGCTCCCCCTAAACCCCAGATGACCTCATCTCCAGATCCTTAATTAATTAGCTCTACAAAGACCCTATTTCCAAATAAGGTCACATTCTGAGCTTCCGAGTGGACACAGATTTGGGGGACACTATGCAACCCACTAGTCAGGTCAGCATAAATGAATTCGATGTTCTGCACACGTGTGGCCTGACCTGTTCTACCTGGCGGCCCTTGCTTGGAAGAAGGTGACCAAGGGCAGTGGAGTTGTCTGATTCGTTCTCCGCATGGGTATGCCCTGGGGCAGGGGGGCGGCGTGGGCATTGGCAGCTATGCCAGCCAATCGCTTCAAGTAGTTGCTGTGCCCCTTGCTGCCGAGGGGTGAGGACAGGTAGAGGGTGCTGACAAAGGTCTCCTGCACCCTCCACCTCTGGGGACCTGAGGGGTGAGCGTCAATGTCCCCATTTTACAGACAGGACACTGAGACCCGGACAAGTAAAGACACTCACTTGGGGAGGCTCTGCTCTACCCTGGGTGCCACCTGCCGCCCCGCCCACCCTGGAAACCAGGGCTTGACCCTGTCTCCCAGGGGTCACGAACAGGTGGGGTCAGGTGGACAGCGAGCAGACTAGACGATGCCAACCCCCAAGCAGGAGTGGGTGGTCCTCTTTGCTGGGTGGTGTTGCAAGGCTCTCTGAGGTTCCAGGCGGCCCGCAGCCCTCCGGCCACCCCAGGAGACAGAGGGCTGCTTGGTCCGAGCACCCACCTATGCGTGCTGCATTCCAGGGGGTGCTCTCGGTGATGCTCCTCTTCACGGTGTTGGAGCTTGGTGTCGCCGTCCCGTCTTCCATCCTCTGGTGGAAACAGGCCCGGTCAAGCATCCCTGGGGTGAGTCCCCTGGGGCTCGGGGACCTGGGACTCAAGTGGCAGTACAGGTAGAGGTCACAGGACCACCGTGGCAGGTGGCACTGAGGTGGACCCGTGAATGTGGCTCCAGCTGAGAGGGAGGCAGCTGCTGGAGGGCAGGACGGCAAGAGAGCGGGGGTCGGTGTTGGGGGAGACCGCTGATTAGGACCTGGTCAGACCTAGAAAGCAGTTGTGCAACCCACTCACTTAGCAGAAAGGGAAACTGAGGCTCCCGAGGCTAGATGACTTACCTGACACCCAAGGCACCTGAGCTGAGATGAGGATGAGGCGCCATTTCCCCCTCTGCAGCCCACCTCCAAGGCCAAGGGCAGCGGACCAGCTTCGAGAGGATTTTCTCCTTCTGGAATCTTCCTTCCTCCACTTCGCACTTGTTATAAACACTTTAACATCCTCCCTTACACACGAGAGCAAAACATACTCAGACCAAATTCCCCAGCTCAACCATGGATTGGCTGGTTGGAGATTTTCTTAAGGGACAACATGCCCCACAGCAGGGTGGGGGAACTGTGGCCTCGGGAGGGGCTGGGTGGCGGGGCAGAGAGAGGAACAGGGCAGAAGCTCAGAACTCAGAGTCAGGTGCCTGTCGACGTTCTCTGCCTTCTCCAGATCGTGCGTTTCCTGGCTCAGAGCGACACAGTTGTCACCAACATGCTCGCAAGAGCATCTGCTGATCCTGATCCTCATCCCGGATTTGAAGAACAGGTGACCTCTTAGGAGAGAGAGAATGAAAGAGACGGAATGAGACAATGAGAGACGGAGAGAGAGACAGAGACAGAGAGTTACGGTGACCTGTGAAGACCAGCATCCCTGGAGAGGGAGAGTAGATCTCACTGAAAACCTGGGCCCGTGGTCCCCTAAGGAATTTATAAACAGGCTTGTCTTCTTCTAAGCGAATGTTTGTTTCGCGTGGGTCCCCTGGTTGCCTCACGATGATTCAAATAAAGCACACGCATGACCAACCTCTCAGGCCACCGGCTGTAGATGGGCCAGGGTGGCCCCCATGCAGCCAGGCGGCATGGTCATCACATCGACCATGAATCGGTTCCTGGGGCTGGTGCTGGGGTCCCTGCCTGAGTGGTCAGTTGTCTGCAGGGCTCCGCTGAATGAGCACACAACCCCGCCACGTGTTATCTCCATACTTCACCTGGTGACGTGCATGGGGAAGATTTGGATTAGATTTAGGAACTGAGATCAGATGCTAAGATACTGAGGGACTCCCGCTACGTGCCGCACAGTGTACAAAATGCCAGATTTTCAAAGTCAAGCCTTGCCCTAAATGAGCCTAGTGGGGGACACACGGGGATGATGCAACTTTAGTACTATATGAGGGTGTTTTCCAAACGGCAGATTATAACCCATTAGGGGATCATGAAATCAATATATTGGATCAAGAAAAGCATTAATGGAAAATAAGATAAAATGACTGAGTGTAACACGGTGAGTGTAGTGTATGTATCTGAGCATAACGGAGCAAAGTAGGAAGGACGGGACTTGGGGCAGGCAGACAGAACGCATCTCTGAATTACTGGGCTGAGGTGTACAACCTATTTAAAGTGGCTGGTGGTCAGATTTTACGATTCAGTTCATTAAGGCAAACCCTGTAGGGGAGTGAACATGGCACCACCCAGATCCCTCTCCGGGATGAGGGAATTTTCTCCCCATTGCAGGGGGTGCCGCCTGCTGGAAGCCCTCAGCCGTCAGCCCCTTTGAGACACCTGCAGTGGGAGAGAGTGCCACCCAGGGTGGTGCCCCCTCTCTAGGCAGCCTGCATGCCCCCCTGGGGTGGAGGGTCTGGTCCTCTTGCTCTAACTCAAGACACCTTGGAATGGTCACCCCAGCTTCCGAGCTGCCCACAGCTGTGGCCTTCACCGAGACTGCGGGACTTCTGCTCTCCGGCCGCCCCAGCCCGTTACCCCAGGAGCACCCTGGGCGGACTTCCTCCTTCCCCGGCGATCCCGATATGCTGCAGCTGACGCCATGAGTGGAGGCAAAGAGCAAATGCTGAGACGGCATCTGGACCAGGAGGATCCACCGCCTGCAGGCGGCACAGAGCACACAGGGCCCCGGCCCGTTGACGCGTGACGGGTGAACCTCCCTGATGCTGGGTGGGGTCCTGCTGGGGCAGCATATCAGGCATTTGAGGAATATGGGGGAGTAAAATCTGTACACTGTGGGGTCGCGTGGCTCTTTGTATCCAGTCAAATGTGACCAGAGGCTGTGGGATGAGTTGACAATTGGACAGAGGTGTGGGTACCAAGGGCTACTGGGTGGATGTAAGGCCCTCCCCTCCCGCAGCCAGGATGCTGCTGCTGAGGTCCAGACCCAGGGCCTAAAGGCCAGATGAGCTCCAGAGAATGACCTCCCCACCTGGTGGGTCAGCCACCTTAGGACAGAATGGGACCCTGACGTGGAGGAGGACATCGGGGTGATGCACCCCAAATCTTGAACCCCCAATTCCCTGCACCCTCTGAGCATGCAGAGTGCTCAGCCCTCCCTATTGGGGGCGGGCACTGTCCCCTTGCTTGGACACAATGCAGGGACCTCCACCCCACAAGACAGCATGTGACCCCGATCCCCCAATATCTTCCCACAGCTCCTCTCCCCGCCACCAGGCTGATGACGAGGTTTGTCCCAACATAACCCAGCCTGGGGCCTTCTGACCTAATAAGGAAGAGCCCCAGGAAGGAGCCCACGTACACCGGCAGAAGTCCGGAGAGATCCATGGAGCTGGCTATTCAAGGTTCTAGGTGACAGGGACGGATCCTAAGGTTAGATAAGAGTGGGTTTGTCTTCAACTTGGGAGCATTCTCCAGGATGCAGGATCAACTTCCTGGCAGGGACCCCAGGAGTTGGTACAAACAGGCTGTTAGGAGGGTCCCATGAGCGTGCAAAGAGTGGCAGCTCCCTGTGAGAGAGGCTCCCAGAAGACAGGAAGAAGCTCAGGGAGGTGGGCGTGTTGGAGTGGAAAGCCTCTGTGAAGGGAGAAAAGTCCAGCGGGCGCCTCCGTGCTGCAGGATGCCCGAGCCGGCGCATCTCCCTCAGCAGCAGAGAGTGCCCTGGGGAGGGTCTCAGCATCCCGGGGGACCCTCCCTGGTCCGCCTGTGCTCCCAGGGATGAGCTGTAATTAGCACATTGTTTTCACGCTGCCATGATCTAACAGCCTTGGTTTTTCCTCCAACTCCACAGGACCCTTCTCCTTGGATTCCGTTGGTCTGTTTGGACTGAACTTAGCTTACATTCCACACACATTCGTGCCGGGTCCAGCCAGACTCTGAGGATGTAGAGATGAACAAACAAATAGCAGCAAAACCGGTGCCTGCCATGAAGGGGCTGCGGGCTCCCCAGATGCATAGATAAGTCAAGAGACAACGTAGATGGGGCGTGATGACCAGGTGCTGGAAGCAAGTCGAGGGAGCCCAGAGGAGGGACCCTCATCTACTTGGCGTCAGAGAAGGCTTCCCTGAGGAAGCCACACGTGAGCTGACACAGGAGACGGGCTGGAGGGAGCAGGGCTAGACTACCCTCCCCGGCTCAATTTGCATATCAGAGGATGTGACTTTGAACCCTCACTCCTGTTTGGTACTGCATCCCAACTATTGCTGTGTACTGCAGCTCACAGCTCTCCTGGCTCAGCTACACACGGGCCCTCCAGGAGGGGGTCCAGCGCGGAGGTGAGATGTGGGCTGCAGGACAGACGGCTTGGGTTCCAACTGCATCTCCATTGCTTCCCTGGGACGTGGCCTTGGACAAGCCCAGTACCTACCCCGTCAGGAAACCAGGTGGGGGAAGTGTCTGCTCCGTAGTACCGGTGTGAGGAGGATGGGCAAAGACCTTTGAACCCTGCCGGGCTCGGAGCGCGTGTCCAGCGCATGCCAGCTGCTGCTGCTGTGAGGGCCTTTATCACCACTCGGCCTGCGAGCCCCATCTCTTCTTTCTCCAGCTCACTAAACTGCTTCTGTGATCCATCTGAGTGGCTGCATGCATCCAGCGTCTGTTCCTTTACTTACCAAACACTGTGAATCCATCACAACTTGTTTATCCACTCACAAGCGGATGGACATTTCCTTCGTTCAAATTTTTGGCTTTTCTAGACAAAGTTGCTGTAAACATTCATGCACTTTTTCTTTTTTCTTAAATGGGAGTGTACTTTTATTTCTCTTGGGTAAGAGGAATTGCTGGGTCCTGTGACACACTCCATCATCATTATTCTCAGATTCCGTATTCGTGAGTTTGCCAACTCGCTAAAATTTATTCGGAACCCCCAAAATCAATACTCAAGATGATTTCACAGGTATTCACGGACGCGCACAGAGGGACGAAAAATTCAAGTTGCCCGATGAGAGTGTTCCAGCTGAGGCTGCCCAGGGCAACGCTCTGCCTTCTTGTTTCAGTTCATGCTGTCAACAGGTGTCCTTTGTGCTGTCTCCTCAGTGCCACAATTTTCACATTTTTGTGGTTTTTGTTGGCGATTCACCAGCTTAACTGGTGCCCCTGCATCGTGCTGAAGCGCCTGGTGGTTCTGTCCCCGGGCCGGGTACACCGCCCAGGGACCCAGGCCCGAGAAAGTGGGTCCTTGGGCACCCGCAGGAAGGAATTCAAGCGAAAGCCACAGAATAAAGTACAAAATCTGCCTTTTATTCAGCAACTAAGCAGCAACAGGTAAAGGGAGGGAAAAGGCGGACTGCTCAGGTGAGAGTCAGGGCTGTCCCAGAGAGAGAGCAGCCTGGGGATGGGCTGGGGGGAGATTTTTTTTTTTTTTATTAATGTTATGATAGATTACAACCTTGTGAGATTTCAGTTGTACATTTTTGTTAGTCATGTTGTGGGTACACCACTTCCCCCTTTGTGCCTTCCCCCCACCCCCCCTTTTCCCTGGTAACCACCGATCAGATCTCCTTGTCAATATACTAACTTCCACCTATAAGTGGAGTCATATAGAGTTCGTCTTTCTCTGACTGGCTTATTTCGCTTAACATAATACTCTCGAGGTCCATCCACGTTGCTGTGAATGGGCCAATTTTGTCTTTTTTTATGGCTGAGTAGTATTCCATTGTGTATATATACCATCTTCTTTATCCAATCATCAGTTTCTGGGCATTTAGGTTGGTTCCACGTCTTGGCTATTGTAAATAATGCTGCGATGAACATAGGGGTGCAAGGGACTCTTGGGATTTCTGATTTCAGGTTCTTAGGATAGATACCCAGTAATGGGATGGCTGGGTCATAGGGTATTTCTATTTTTAACTTTTTGAGAAATCTCCATACTGTTTTCCATAGTGGCTGTACCAGTTTGCATTCCCACCAACAGTGTATGAGGGTTCCTCTTTCTCCACAACCTCTCCAACATTTGTCGCTCTTGGTTTTGGATGTTTTTGCCAATCTAACGGGTGTAAGGTGATATCTTAGTGTAGTTTTGATTTGCATTTCCCTGATGATTAGCGATGATGAACATCTTTTCATGCATCTATTGGCCATATTCATATCTTCTTTTGAGAAATGTCTGTTCATGTCCTCTGCCCATTTTTTGATCGGGTTGTTTGTTTTTTTGTTGTTAAGCAGTGTGAGTTCTTTGTATATTATGGAGATTAACCCTTTGTCGGATAAGTGGCTTGTAAATATTTTTCCCAATTAGTGGGCTGTTTTCTTGTTTCAATCCTGTTTTCCCTTGCCTTGAAGAAGCTCTTTAGTCTGATGAAGTCCCATTTGTTTATTCTTTCTATTGTTTCCCTCGTCTGAGGAGTTACAGTGTCTGAAAAGATTCTTTTGAAATTGATGTCAAAGAGTGTACTGCCTATATTCTCTTCCAGAAGACTTATTGTTTCAGGCCTAATCTTTAGGTCTTTGATCCATTTTGAGTTTATTTTGGTGTGTGGTGAAAAAGAATGGTCAATTTTCAATCTTTTACATGTGGTTGTCCAGTTTTCCCAGCACCATTTGTAAAGAGACTTTCTTTTCTCCATTGTAGGCCCTCTGCTCCTTTGTCAAAGATTAGCTGTCCATAGATGTGTGGTTTTATCTTTGGGCTTTCAATTCTGTTCCATTGATCTGTGGTGGGGGGAGATTTTTTATGGGACCTCAAAGGGAAGTGGTCGCAGCAGGTAGGGGGTGGGCCTCAGGATGTGGCCGACTGGCTGATTCTGATTGGTTCTGGAGCTGCATGGCCAGTTTGTGGTCCCCCTGCAAACCGAGCGGTCTGTAGTGGGCACGGACGGGCTGCTGACTTGCTCTGTGTTACAGGATGTGTGGCCCACTTCAGGCAGATGTGGCTTCCTGTATGTGCAGGCTTGTGTCACCTGGGGCCCTGCCTAGCCCACCAAGATGCCTGTCTCATCCCTAAGCACAAGAGCGCCGTGACGTGCCTCCCAGCGAAAATATGGGCCAGAGAGAAACTCTGTTCGCTTGTGAGTTATAGCACTGTTGGCCAAGAATCCAACGTTAATGGATTGGCTATTTATATTCCACAAAGCGTCTCTAAACAGAAACACACATAACATGTGCTTTGATCAGCTGGCAAATGTGTTGTGACCAGAGGGTCCCGGGAACCAACCCCGTGTCTCCCCCCGGAGCAGCGGCTCCGTGCTCACTGACTCAGGGTCTGCAGGGACTTTACAGGACGTAGACAACGTGGATGATGACAATCGAATGTAACTGTGTTTAACTTGACAGGAAACTGCCAAACCATGTTCCAAGTTTTTGTACCACTTTACCCTCTCATCTGCAATGCATCTTTGCCATCTTGTTATCATCAGTCTCATTATTTGAGCCACTCTGCCGGGTGACGATCATGGTCATAGCAGCTTTGTTCGTGGTGGAACCACTAGAAATAATCTAAATAGCTATCAGCATGTTGCTAACAGAGCACACTTGGCTGTATATATACATAAACTGAATAATAGAAATAAAACAGGACAGTACAGGAGCATAAGCAACATCGTGGATGAATCTCAAAGGCATCGTGTTGTGTTAAGAAGCCAAATGCAAGAGAAAGAATGCTGTGTGGTTGGGCTGATATGACTTTGTAGGACAGACAGAACTACTCTAAGTCACAGAAAGCAGGTCGGGGGTTGCCTGAGCGCGTGGACTCAGGGGGTTGACTGCAACGGGTGGGAGGGAAGGTGATGATGGGATTGTTATACGTCCTGTTGGGGGGTTGCTGATACTGTTGTGTCGTTTTCTAAAGCCATGAACTATGTATTGAAATGGATGGGTTTTATTGAATGTAAGTTATTCTTCAATGAAATGGGCTTAAAGGAATAGACAGAAATCATGCACCCTCTCTTGGTTGATAATTGATCACAATTCTTGGTTTAATGGAGATGGGAGGTGTCAAGAAGTGTGTGACCCTTTTTTATCTGGTTTTCCTTTTCTTGATTTTATAGAAACCATGTGAACCATTGGTTTACATACAACAACACATGAGAGTTGCTCTCTTTCTGGCAAGATAGATTGCACCGTACATCTCTCATGAGGTACAGGCCTTAATGTATTGATTTTCCCATTGATCTTGCAAATATATTTATTAAGGACCCATTTTCTGACATAGGTTATTTGGGACAAAGTGATGTCCACGTCGTCCAATGCCTTAGGAGAGTCATGTAGCCAGTACTTGACAGCCAATTTGATTAGAAGGATGATAGAGCCCTTCATTGATGCATAGATAAAATAGAGCAGTATTAGGTGTGTTAGAATATGGAAGCACAGATGAAGGGCACCCAGAAAGGCTTGGGTTTCTCTTGGAATATTTCAGAAGAGGCCCCCTCGAAGTTTGTTCCTTG